AGGGGCTGGAAGATTCCATGTAGTGTAAAGACAAGGATTTGTTTATACATGTAGTGCATATGGATTACATTATGGATTTCCCGGACCTAGATGAAGCCTAGTTCTGGTCTATATTGCAGAGCCAATGGTCATTCCTTTCAGTCTAGACCTAGGCTTAGTTTTGGTCTGGGAAACCTGCCCATTGCCTTTGATAACAATGCACAAGTTGAAGAAACAAACCCAAAACACATCCTGCATGAACAGGATTTACGAAGCACTGGACTAAAGCACACATTATCTCAAGAACATGATCACAAGCTTATGATGTAACTTAGATACAAGGAGAACTTAAACCAATATGCAGTAGACCAGTGTTTCTCTACCACGGTCCTGTGGGCCCACTGCCCTGCACATTTTAATGCTTTTTCTGCTTTAACACAGCCACTTTAACTCAATGATGGGCTGATCAGTTGGATTAGGTGTGTTGAGAGCAGGGAAAACACTAAAAAGTGCAGGACACTGCAGTAGACTACAGGACTGGAGTATTGGGACACCAGTAAAATGTCTGATACTGACCTTTTCTGTTTACTTCTTTGTACTTTGATTATAAGCTCTTTACAGTCCAGTTTTCCAGACCCAGATTAAGCCTAAACCTTGACTAAAAAGAACATCACCATTGGAGCTGCAGTGATTCACCACTGGGGCTGCAATTTAGGCCAAGAGGCTTAATTAGTGTCTGGGAAACTGGTTTTACGATTTTTTCCTATGTCCAAAATTTTCTCTCAAAGCTCAGATCTCCCTAAAGATGATGCTCGAAAAGGACAAATCATTGGATTCCTCTTTCTTATACGGAGCAAAGTGCTCCTGAAGTATTGTACTCGTACCTGATTTCAAGTAATTTAGTCATGTATGGCACTGTGTTTACATGTAGAAATTTCATCAGTACCTCTAAAATATGTAACCACCACATAAAACATTATCCAACACATTTTACACAGCACATTTAAAACCCCAAAGTTTTCAGCCTCTGCTGAGGTGTTTCATAATCTAGCAGTAATGACATCCCTGGCTAAACATAGAAGTGTCTGCTCTTCAGGAGTAAAAAAAAAAATGTAAGAAATGTAGACTACCTTCATCCAGGTGTTTTTTTTCTCCCTCTACTTAAACAAACCCCAATCAGTAGATGGGATGTGAATGTTTTTGAGAATATATTTTTATTAAACATTTAAAAGGCATTGCTTGCAGATATGAATGACAAATCAATTGCACAAGGCAGGAAACAACTAAATGCTCCTAGTGTGAAGATGTGAGAAACTAAGCTCCCTGGACACAAATTAGTCACTTTGTGTTTAAGCTGGTAGGAACTTCAGGCTCCTGCAGATGGCACTGCACCAGGATGATTGGGCTATTAAAACCTGTGGGGCGTGTGACGGGATTCATAGATTGAGAAAAGGTGGTACAGTGCATTGAACGTCTCTTCCAATGTGTGGAAAATGGGTCACAAAGCAGATGTTAATGATTGGCAAAAAGGAGTGATTGCATTTGGGTGTGCCAAAGGCCATAGTGTGAAGGAAGTAGGTGAATTTGCAGGCGTATTGAACTGTATGGTCAGCTTACTTACCATGAAATGGGAACTTCAAGCCAGTCCTAATGCACAATGTGGGAAACTATGCTACTAACTAGCGAAGAGCCCAAGTCAAAAACTACTGGCCAAAACCATAACACAAACAGTTGGAAACTACAAGCCAATCATGAGAAACTTCTAGCCAGTGGTAGTGCATGATGTGAAAATCTACTTATCAATCCTAACTCATTTGGCAAGATCCTAGTAGCCAATCCCAGCACACAAAGAGGGAAACTGCCAGCCCATCTTGGTTCAGGCCATGAGAAACTACGAGACAATTCTACTGTAGATGGCAGAAAACTACTAGCCAATCCTAGTCATGTGACCAATTACACCACTCCAATAATGGTACTGATGTAAAATGAAGACAGCCTATACTCCAGTATGTATTTAATTAAGTAGAAAACATATTAACAGCTTTTATAGAGCTTTACAGACTCAAACCAATAGACCTCTAAAGCCATGCTGGTCTAAGCAGATGTTCTGTTTGAGAGAAATGGCAAGAAGTTACTAAATGAGGTGGCATAAAGATACAGTGATGGAAATGTGCATGTTATCTCTGTTGAGTCATAACATTCTAGCAGGCCCAGCACTTCAGAGCACAATCGATAGTCTGGATTATCTACAGCAAATATGAATCACTGTGTTATCTAACGGGTATATAATCTGTTATCTAATCTCCTCTGAGCATGATCTAAAAGTGGCAGAACAATTTTATTAAAATATCAATAATAGACAATTCACAGTAGGCCTCTAAAGTCAGGCCGAGGTCTAAGCAGATTTTCTCTCTGTTGAAAAAAAAGTCCAAATCTGTACAGATTTTTTTTTTCTCTAAATGTTGCTGGGTTTTCAGAATTATGTGATCATTAAGGGACCAAAATAGGAACATGCAATCTAACCCTGCTGCGCATTGAGCTGTCATTATAGAACTGGAGACCCCACTGAAATACCCTCACACAAACCAGCAGGCTTTGTTAAATGTGCTAGTTAAGTTTCTCTGGCAGTTTGAGTAGCTGGTGTTGTTTTATAATACTGTTAAAGTTAAATCCACCTTATTTTTCATGTTAAATCTGTGTTTTGTGATTATGGCTGAAATATCTAATTAGGGAACAGAAGTGTCATTCATTGCTGCTTTTAGCAAAGTCCAAGAAAGTGCACTCTGAGGCATTCTGGGACAACGTGCTGTTTGTGGTTGTCGGTACAGCTGAGTGAACCTGAAATTAAAGCCAGTACAGCAATGCTACGAGCGTATAAAGCACAGAGCTTCATGTGAATGTGGCTTCATGATGACTGCTTGAAAAAGCCCAGTTGTTTCACGTAAAATCCAACAAGATGACAGACTGCCAGTTGAACATCACTGGTTGCTGTTTACACACCAACTTTAACAGGTTTACACTTTATATTCTTATTATAGCTGCCTGCATACAAGTCATGCAAAGTAGAGAATGTTACTTACATACTTACAAGTGTCCATATTTAAAGATTTTAATTGAGCTGACATTAAAAACCAATACAAAAACCAATTCAGAGCTGACATTAAAAACCAGTATGGTGAGCTTACAAGGAGTTGTAACACACAGATTTCTACATTGCTGCGTAATGTCACTGCTTTATGGTTCTTTGCCTGTATCTGACTCTCAGTGCAAACACAATTAAAACGTTTAAATGAGATGACTTTATTAGCATAAATAATTAATGCAGGCTATAAATAGGATCCTTTGACTAAAGCGGGTCTCAGGTTTCTGTTGAAAGATAAGCTACAAACATCAGCACACAAGCATTAAAGCATCCCAGCAATAAAAATCATTTATATTTATGTTTTATTCCCACGTTTATATTTTATTCTCACATTTCTGTCATGTTAGGATGGATTAAGCATGCAACATATTGTCTGTTTGCCATAAGTCACTCAAAGCACCGTGAGGCACAGGAATAAGATAGATAGTATACTGTTAATTTCACAATACTTAAGTCAAATTTTGCGCAGTAAAATGCTATATTAATCGTTTTATTGTGAAATGAACTGTTTTTAAGATATGTTCTGGAATAACACAGCAAATTACTGTGAGGTTGACGTTGAGCTGTACCATCATCATGAGGTATAAAAAGATATAAAAAGATAAGATAAAAAGATATAAAAAGATAAAATTTCAGTGTTTTTTTTTCTGATGATTTAGATTGAGGTGAAGTTTTATGCTGTTTTTTACTTCATAAATATAGATATTGTCAGAAATTCTAGTCATGTTTGTGTAAATTATAAACAAAGTTTAAATGTCTGTAAAATGTGTATTTGCATTTGCATTTTTGCTTTGTTTTGTTTTTGTTTTGGTTTTTTTTTTACCTTTTTTTCCTAACATATCTATTTGGTCTGGTTCAGTTAAAAGTCATTTTACACGTGAACTTTATATAAATTACTGGCTACTGATTTGCATCTTTTTCACGGTTGTTATGTAAAAATACAGGAAATTCCTGTGTTTTAATTACAGCTTATTTGTGCAAGTGTAAAGCAGAATACAGCTACGGCACAGTGGTCTTGAGGTGCAGGTGACTGTGGAGTCTCAGTATACAGTTGCTGTTTTATTGTTTCATAGTTGCTGTTGTTATTATTGATATACTGTGGTAAATGAGTGAGAAAGTAACCCAACTAGTAGCCATTAATGTATTGTAATTTTACAGTGAAATTTTTCCCGTATAGACTTACTGTCACACAGCATCATTGTAGTGCTCAGGACTGTTAGCTGCTTGTAGCACATATGTAGCGTTATTTATATTTTGATTTTTGATTACAGACTTACCTTGTAATTTAGTAATTGAGAGGATCCTAGGAAACGTACATAGGACACCTAAATATGTGTATATGTACATTTCCTAGAATCTGAATTACTGAATAATTAGTATATATGTATATATACATACATATATATATATATATATATATATATATATATATATATATATATATATATAAAAAATTTTTAAATGCATGTAGTCCTTTTATTTTATATATGAATATATAATATATATATATATATATATATATTATATATATATGTATATATATATATATATATATATACATACATGCTCATATCTCCAAAATGATAACTTTCCCAAGTCATTTTGGGCCGTTTCTTTTGGTCCATTCATCATGAAATTGATATACAATAAAAAAGGACTACATGCATTTTAAAATTATGTCAATAAAATATATATATATATATATATAATATATTATATATATTATATATATGCGCGCATGTATATGTGTGTATGAATAAAATTACATATGTTGAATTAGAGTTAGTACCCACCTCTGCCATTAGCCAATAGCAGCTCAGGTGGGCGTGGCTTCTCGGAATACAGGTAGGCAAAAGTGACGCTTCGCTGATGTGCCGCTTGTCGCAGCTCGCTCTTCGCTCTCGGTGTGGACTGGAAAGGATGCGTTTCGTGGGGAAATACCGAACTCGAGAGGATGGTGCAGGAACGTGACGCGCTTTAGAGAGAGGGAGAGAGGGAAGAGAGGGAGAGAGAGAGAGAGAGAGAGAGAGAAGAAACAAGGCAGTGGCGATGGTGCGCGCTGGAGCCATGAACACCAAGAACTCGGTGCCAAGCGCTGCGACGTGCTTTGGCTTGGTTCTAACAGCCACTTTTCTCCTCGTGTGGATGTGTACAGTCAAAGGTAAGACTCCGGACACTGCTACACCTGTAATGAATGGAGTTATCAATGCTGGAATAATACAGGTGAAGTGGCTGAATGATGTGGTCTCCTTGGTGAGGTAAGTCCATGGGTTTCCATTACCAGCGCTGTGGCTTGAGGACAAGTTTAATGATAAAAACAAAGTTAGTTCCAGAGGGTAAAGTACAGGCTTCAGAGTAGGGAAGCATGACAAATGACTGCACTGTGTTCAGCTGGTTGGAAGGAGATGTTGACCCTGGCGGAGGGTGGAGGTCCAGCACAGTTTGGTGACTTTCCTGCTCAGACACATTTAGTGGGTGTTTTTTGCCAGGTTTTGCCAGGTTTGGTGGTGTTTTTGAGCAGGAGAGCTACCAAACCGTGCTGGACACCAGCCTTCCTGGACCGGAGACTGGAGCTCCCTTGTTGTAGACAGTGAGTGTGAAAGTCAGTGCCTTCAGTTCTCTTTGATGCAGTTCATCTGCTGCACCTGAAGTCTGAAAATGGAAACGTTGCATGACGTGAAATGACATTTATTGTATGTCATTTAATATATAGTGCTAATGGAGTGCTATAGGATTAAATGTTCTATTTAATGATCTGTATGAGATGCTCAGAAAGTATTTAGCCTGATCCTGTCAGGATGGGTCAGTATCCATAAGCTGTTATGCTTTTACTCTACAGTGCTTGCTGAGCCCCACTCAGACCACATAGTTTGGGGCTCATCTTTTGTATTGTTCCCAGTGATAATACAAGACACCAGAAGCTCTTTGTCCATTCTCTTTGCTTCCAGACGTTCCATGCTGTGTCCCGCTGCGTTTCCCTCTTTATAAATATTGATTCTCGTCGCAGCTTGGTTACTGGTGTTTTGTTAAATGGATCAGCCTTGATTCAGAGCTGTCATATCAAGAGCTGAAAACTGATGGAAAGCGAAGTCACTCCAGCAGTGATAATTTGGCATATTAGGGCAGTCTGTGGGGTTCTCTTGGCAGGGAACTGGTTCACACCAGGGTGGTAATTATGTTCTATTTATCTGATAAATAGCATTGTTTAGTTACACGAGTGTCTCCTCTGACAGCACTGTTATTCCTGTAATGACACTACATTTAAATCTACAGTTAGAAATTGAGGTTCTGTGCAGGTACATTTTCGTTCATCACGGCACAAACAATGTTTCCTCAAAGGTACAACAGTGGTTTTAAGGTCCAATCGTGTACCTTAACCTCTTCAGCTCCTTGAGACTACCGGTGGTTCCAAAACGCACTTCGTCATATTCTTCATAACTTTCATATTTCGTAAGATACATTCAAAAGGTGGGTGTCGTATGTGAGCTGTAACTGTCTTCTTTCCAGTCAAATAGATGGGTAATGTAATTTTAAACCCTTATAATATTTGGTCATGTAAATTCAGATGGACAAACCAAAATATGCCCTGGAGAATAAGTTTTTTCCAGATAAAAAGTATGTATTTGTACCTTTTCATAATCTAATGTTTTAAAACAGAACAGTAAAATAAGAAGCCTGGAGGCGAGACGGGGTGTGTGGAGTCAGTACGACTTAGAAAATATTATTTCAATGGATTATGATACAATTATGTACCTGACTAAAGGTACTGAGATGTACCCTTGAGGGTCCCACCCCAGTGACTAGAGGAGTACTGCCCCAGTGACAGTTTAGTACCTTTATTTCTGAGAGTGTAAAAGGGTTACAGAATATAAGCAAAAAAAAAAAAACTTGTAAGGACTTGGGCTGTCATTTGCACTCATTTGTGGGGTTATAATGAAATGCCTTGTTTGTAGTGGCTCATTTTTAAATTGCATATAAATTGCAAAAGTATGTGGACAAAATACATTTCATCAGGATGTTTTGCTACTTTCAGTACTTCAGTATGGTTATTTTATCATTATCATATTGGACATCCAACAGTGCTGCATGTTCTAACCAATAAGTGTGCATATCATACAGTATAGGTCATAAACGGATCACTGATTCTACTGAATTGGTTTAGGGTTCAAATCACATTGTAGACTTTTTACTATATTCTGACTTTAGCCTAAAATCCTTTTGCTCTGAGTGATTCTAAGCCTTAATTGTGTTTATTTTATCAAAATAAATGATTGAACTTTCCATTTTATCACTACCAAACAATCACAGTTTTCAGTTTCAGTAGTGACTATTTCAGTATATTCAATTTTAGCCACACAGCTTTGAACAGCTGTACACCCAATATCATAATATTCGTCATCAAAACACAAAAACGTTTCCTTAATTTTTTAACTGCTGACCATGTGGCCATTAGGGACAGGGATGCAGTCTCACTTCCTGCTCTAAAATGCAGGGGTGTAGCTAAAGAAAGGCTCCATCTAAGGACTAAAGCTCTCTAGTGACATGAAAACATGGGACTTTTTTTAATGTAAAAATTAAACTCACGATAAATCAAAATTCACTTTAACTTCACTTTAAAAGATATCAAAAAGATTAAACACGTTTTTTCACAAGTGTAAATTTAGGGGCTAGTGTTTGGGACAGACACCTCCCAGTAGAAATGAGCTTATAAATGATGATTTTGTATGTATTTAGCTTATTATCTCAATTAATGCATTGGGTTTAAGTAAACCATAACACAATTCTTGTAAATACTTGTGTGTGGAAGATTATATTAAATCTATCCCTAACCCTAAACCTAACCCTAACCTCAAGGCAAACCATAATGTTGTAGATAATCAGCTGAGTATCACCAGAAACTTTGCTCATAATTTAAGTAGCCGTAGATCATCTACAGGGGACCATCCAAATAAAGTGTGACCTTGTTTTTTACTGTGGGTCTGCAGTTGGACGTAATTCATTAGAATATTCCATTTACATTCAATGGTTCTACACCGTGACTGTAGCCTCTCGCTTTCATTCATGCAGCTAGATGTTCACTTTACAGTAACAGCACTTACAGTTGACCAGGGCAGCTCTAACAGGGCAGAAATTTGAACCGTCTTGTAGGAAAGGTGGCAGCGCTGTTGTTGTGCTATTGTTTTTCTGGTGTTGACCAGAGGAGAATGGGTTCATGTTTTGAGTCTTGGTTACTGTCAAGGTCTCTTCCTCTTGCTCGAAGGGATTTTTTCCTTGCCCCTGGCTCGCTGACGAAGGGCTTTGACCTGGATTTCTGCAAAGCTGCTTTGTGACAACACTCCTTGTTGACAGCGCTATAAAAATAAATCAAATTGAATTGACCTGGTATTCTTTGACAGTGCCACGTTCAAAGTCACCTCAGTAAAGCTTGTTCTGTTGCTAGTGTTTATCTGTGGAGATGTGCTTGATTTTATACACCTGTTAGCAGGTGGGTTTAGTTGAAATAACCAAATTGATTGGTCTGGATTGTCCCAGGATAGTGTAAACAAATATTGTCATTGGTTAGAGAGCTCATTTGCACATTGCTGGCTTCTGCATTATCAGTATTGTGAAGGCCAATATTGCAGTACTGATGATCAAAAGGCTACAATATTACTCTTTTTTGAAAAGCTACAATATAACTCTTTTTTTTGACACTTACCAAATGGAAAGTTGCAGTACATTGCTATCTGTTTTTAATGTGTTTCGTGTTTTTATTGTAATTTTGTTGTTAATGAGGTTTAACGAACCTCTGTTTTAGAGATACAGTGTAGAAAGTGGAACAGTAACTGGGCATTAAGGTGTGCAGGAGTGTTTTCTCTGTAGAGTGCTAACTTACTTTCTCTTAGAATATCAACAAAACATCCTTTGATTGGGGTGCCTACATTTTTGCTTAGAACTGTATTTCTAATAGTAGCACGAAAACAGTGTTGCTTTGGACTTTTAGATAAGCTGAAAAGAAAACTATTTCTTATACGTGTGGGCAGTATAACGTACACACTGCAAAAAAATGGTATGTTGTCAAGTAAAAAGATCTTAAATCTAGTCAATATATCTAAAATTTCACATTTTAAGCACTTGTTATGCACTTATTATAAGATTATCTGGCTTATTGTTATCATTATGTACTTATTTTAGGTAATTTTATTAAATCTGCCAATATAGTAAGATACTTTTACTTAATAAAATTATTTAAAACAAGTAAGGAATGTCTAGAAATAAAGAAAATAATCTGCAAATTAAGCTTACAACAATCTCAACAGGATAAATATTAGATTTATTGAATATATTTAAGATAATTTTATTTGACAAGATACCAATTTTGCAGTGCACTGTAAGAAAAGTCAAAGGATCATTATTATTTTTCTTTTTACAGTGAAGTGTCATTTTTATTGTCCTAAATTATGTCTTAAATTACACTTATGTGTATGCATATGGTTGATATTGTCCATATTTGTAAAACTAAACCACTGCATGCATCATAAAAATTACAAACAACAGCAACAACAACCAACTAACTCTGTAAAGCTGATTAAACGCTGAATGTTTTATTCATATTTTGTAGTAATTGTTTGTTTTTTTCCTCTTTCCTCTTAAATAGCTTATTTTTGCAAATGTTGAGTTGAAAACACAGTTACTCCTGGATTTCCATAGCTTTCTCTAAAATTGAGTATCATAACACAGGTCATGTAGAGTAAAAAAGTTAGGTGCGCTGCAAAAAATGGTATCTTGTCAAGTGAAATGATCTGAAATCTAGTTTATGTGTGTAATATTTCCCATTTTGAGATGGTTGTGCACATATTATAGGATAATCTATCTTATTTTTAGACATTATTTACTTGTTTTAAGTGACTTTATTAAGTAAAATGATCTCACTGTACTGGCAGATCATTTTGCTGGTTTCAAGCACATTTCTTAAAATAGGCAAAATTATCTGCCAATATTGTGAGATAATTTTACTAAATAAAAAATTACTTAAAGCAAGTAAAATGTCCAGAAATAAGTTAAACAAGCCTAAATAAGGCTTACAACAATCTCAACTGGAGAAATATTTGATTTATTGACTATATTTAAGATGATTTTACTTGACAAGGTACCATTTGTTGCAGTGTATTATGATATTCT